TAAGATAAGATGTAAGGTAAGCAAGCAGGATAAGATAAGATGTAAGGTAAGCAAGCAAGATAAGATAAGATGTAAGGTAAGCAAGATAAGATAATGTGACATTATTCTATCATTTTCCCATATTAGGCCCAATAGGTGGCGCTATACTATTTCCTGTAGCCATGTGCTTGCGTGGTCACTCTACTACGTGGCAGGCTAGAGAGTGGCTGGAAATAAATCCTTTGTTGAGTTTACATATTATACGTCAGCTCTTACGACTTTACTTCTAGAAATACAACAATATTATTAGTGTCTGTAGTGACTTTAATGGTAATATTTAGATGATTTCTGTAAAAACTGAATTCTGACTCATCTATACTCACGGTTTACCCTCAACAAGTTCTGGTGACATGTAGTAAGGCGTTCCCACATACTATATGGTAAAAAAATTCAATGAAAAATCAACATAAGTATACACACAGTACGTTACACAATATATCCATCTAATCTAGCACATTTTTCATGCTCTAACAATATCTTACACTCATGAGCATATATGTGTAATCATAACATATAAAGTATGGACATGTGTTGTCACAGGCGCATGAACTTACGGAATGTGCGACCTGGTCTTTTGTGTCCAGTACTTTAGATATTCCAAAGTCTCCAAGTTTAACCAAATCAGTTTTAGTCAGGAAAATATTCAAAGTTTTGATGTCTCTGTTCATAAAAGAGAAAGAAAATGTGTAAAAAAAATAATATATAACATGTATTAAATTCTAGCAGCTAGATATAATGAAATATGTACCACTATGAGCGACATATTTTTAGTATAACATATAAGCAGTTTGCCTGTCCAATAACTACTGCTATACACTTCCCATATGCCACTATATATGACTACTTTGTTACAGAGTATCTTGCACGTATAAAAGACGAAGACACTGTCATTGTTTTGCATATATCATATTTGTAGTTTAAAATGATATTAACAAGAAGTTTCATCTGCATATGTTACAAGAAAGGGAATATGCCCTACTTTCTCATACTAAGCAAATAAATATTAAATGTTCCACCATGGATATTAATAGTACCATTGCTTTTTATTAAAAAGATCCATAAATGCCAATGTAAACCACGTGGAAATATCCTCGTTTCTGATCGAGAAGGAATCACTAAAAACAGAAGATCTAAATTAAAACAAATAGCAATAAATGACATGCCATGGCACACATCTTAGAAAACAAATTTACGATTAGAAACATATACCACCACTGCATGCAAACGAATGCTACAGGTAGTACGATGAAGGTATCATCTATACAGTGAACATATATTATGTAAGTGAATTATGAGGTGTTGCTGGAACGATGCCATTTCAGTTGTTTCGAAAAGTGCCACCAGATTACAAAAACAAGTAGCATGGTTTATTTAGCACGAGTAATGGAGTTTCTGATGCTGATAGGGTCTATGTCCCACAGGGTACTGCCGGAACGTACCCTGGGTACGGTCCGGTATACCGGAACGTACCCTGGTACTATCTAATATGCCGGACCGTACCTCGCCTACTCCACTAACGAGTCTAGGGAGTCGCCTACGCCTACTCCCTAACCCTAACCCTATAACCCTAACCCTAATCCTAACCCTAACCATATAAAATAGTGACCAGGGTACGTTCCGGTATACCGGACTGTACCCAGGGTACGGTCCGGCAGTACCCTAGGGGACATAGACCCTATGAGCGTTTCTGATAACTGGTCTCTATGCACGAAAAGGTTGCATATGGTACAGTACATGCCCAAAAGACAGTGGAACCCCAATTTTACGCACACCGATTTAATGCGAATTCGGATATAACGCGATGAGTCGTTGGATCCCCTTTTTTTTGCTCTTATATAGCCACGTATAAATAACCCCGATTTAGTGTGAACCTGCTTTTTTTCGCGATGACATTTTATGGACCCCAACCAACGCTGAGAGGGTCTATGTCCCCCAGGGTACTGCCGGAACGTACCCTAGTACTAAATACTACTATCTAATATGCCGGACCGTACCTCGCCTACTCCATTAACGAGTCTAATGCTAGGGGCACACGAGCGTATTTTATCGCCCGATCGCGGCGATTAAAATCGCCAGCGAATTTAATCGCCCGATCACGAAAGCCTAGGACACACTAGCGATTCTGTACGCTGCCCGGCAGCGTATATGTTCGCTCACGAATTTAGAACGCCGTACCAGTTCCGCGGACAGCTGGACACACTGTACGGCGTCAAACCGCTTCCAACGGCTTCGTTGCTACACTTGATTGGCTGCTAAAATCAATCGCGTTCGAACACGATGATTCATTGCTGGGCGCGCTGGCGCTAGCTGGTGCAAGCGCATGCAAGCGCATGCGCCGTACGCAAGCGGGTGCGTAAATATTCAACATGCTGAATGCGAGCGATCAGCCGGGCGTATGGGATCGCGTGCGAAATACGCTGCCGTGAGACCGGACACACCACGCGGACCCGGCACCGTATTTATCGATCGCAAGCGGCCAGCGTAGAAAATCGCACAGTGTGTCCTAGGCTGAAGGGGCACACGTAGCGAATTTAATCACCCGATTTTAACATCACAAGATATCAACAACACGTCCGATTGGTTTAGAAAAATCGATCGGGCGACAAAATACGCCGGACACGGGCACACGAGCGAATTTGCCAGCGTAAATAATCGCCAGCGTAAATAATCGCCGGCGTAAATAATCGCCCGAAAATATCTAACATTTTGGAGATGGGAACAACATGGTATCCAGGGTACGTTCCGGCAGTACCCTGGGGGACATAGACCCTATGAGCCCAACCAACTCGTTAGGACGGGGCTACACTGTAGTTTCAAATCAGATTAGTTAAATATATACGTAACATTTTTTCCATTATTGAGCCATTAGTTGTTACATTTTCAGCAATTTAAGAAAATTCAATAAAGTAATCAAAATCATAGGGCAGTGGTGACAGGAAAAAAACGAGTTCCTTATAATTATTACTGCCACTAGCTGGGAGAAATGTGTCCTTTGTTGACTATTGCTCTACATGTTCCTACTTACTATAATAAGGACTCATTTTCTACACATAGACCCTATTAAAAAAGCCTATGTAAGCCATTTTCGATTTTTCCCTCAATTGCATCTATGTGCACGAACAATGCTCAGATCTCTAACTGGAAAATATGAAGCATTGAATTGAAGTTTAAATTAAGTTATGCTTTGACCCAGCCGTAACTTCATTTATCTTAACTGACCATCGATGACTATTTTAGCATTCCTCCTACATAATCAACATGAACAGTGTAGATGATGCTATTTACATTTTTGCAAGTACGGTTGATGAGCACCTGAGCCATTAATGGCTTCTTTTTTAATGTACAGAAGCTATATACCAATTTGTATACAGGTACTGGTAATAAGAGGGACCAAACTAAATCTAAAATAGACTCAAAGAACCGCGCTCCGGTAATAAATGCTGTGTGTGATTATACTCGCGCGTGACGTCACATCTGTCCTGCCAGGCCGCCGTAGCTAGGCGATCTCGTATTTATATACGGTGTACACTGTGCGACTGCGTGGTTATCATGAAGATCACAGGCACTTGGAACATATCAATAGTAAAATGATGGTAAATAAACACGAAATGTATTTACTACCTAAGTCTTAATGTTTCCCTACTCGCTTTCGCTTATTATTGGGAATAATTTCCTGCAGGCCCGTCGCCAGGCGGAGGCACGGAAACTCGGGCTTCAACATCATTTCCCTTCTTTCTTTCTTTCCTTGTGGAATTAAACAGTTGCAATGTACTTTTTACTGTGTTTCAAATGTTAAAATTTTATTTTAAAACTCGCCAGCGTACACCATTTTCCATGCATGTAGCATTTCAAACATGTTCGTGGAGGCCCCCCGGACCCCCACCAGGGGGAGGGGGAAACCCCCTCACACGCACTTTCCCCCTTTACGGCGCTTCGCGCCCTCGTGACTGGGCTTCAATATTAGTCAATCCCTGACAACGGCCCTGTCCTGTGAATGCCGTTCAAATGCTCATCTGCAACATCGGACGAACGCTTAACGCACAAACAACAAGAATAAAGAGCTCTTAGCTTAGAAGTAGGATAGAAGGAATAAGGGTGGAGGCTGAGGAGGAAGAAGAAGAGAAGGAGGAGTAGAATGAGATGGGCATAGTGGTGGTACACCCAGCGAAAATGGTAAATGAGACAGACGAAATGCGTGGAAGAGGTGCAGACGGTTGGGGATATAGAAAGAGGAAAGAGATAAGTGTGGAGAGGTAGACGCAAAGAGTATGAGATTTCGTAATGGCTGTAACCGATGTAACCAGTATCCGATATTCCGTTAGTCTGTTTGCACCTGCTCACTAGCTACTAGAAATTCAATATAATTGCATTTAAAATGAGGACATATTCCAGAATAGACTGGTATGAAAAACGTCCTAGTGACAATAGCAAAGATAAAGATCTAGCTGGCTCACTCCACAAAAATTCTGATATTGCAGCCTATCTGATAGAATCCGAGGTATACATGTGCGGTCATGACCTCTATCTGGTATGAGAAATAATATTATGTCCAAATTACATACTTAATGACCAGAGCACGGGAGCAAAACTAGTGTTAGGAAGTAGGGTAGAAGGGATGAGGGAGGTGTTGACGAGGAAGAAGTAGAGAAGGAGGAGGCGGTCGTAGTGGTGATAGAACTAGCGAATATAGGAGAGGAGGCAGAATGTGCGGAAGAGGTGCAGAATGGTGGAGATGTAGGAGGAGGATACGGATGGGTGTGGAGAGGTAAACGCAGAGTCTATAGCCGCCTTCGTCCTTGTGACAATCATGGAAAGCCAATCATGCATTCTACCATTTGTCACATATTGTGTCCCCCTCAGTTATATAACCACATCGCCCGAATAAACTAGTATACAATGACGAACGCGGCAACAGGTCTGTTCCACATAAGGTCACAGCAACATATACAATAATTTTATATCATATATATGTATATGCTATATATTCTCCCCAATGAGAATATTTAGTATTAGCAACGTACCCATCCAATGGACGGGTGCTGGGTTGTTGTAACAGATCTATAGGCAACAGTCAACAAATGCAAATTAGGAGGAAAGGAGAAATGTTGCCTGCCAGTGCGTGTATGATAGCAACATATAGCGATAGACGTAAATTGGCATTCTTGAATGAAGAAAGGCACGACTGGACAATTAAATAGCCAGATCAGTTAAATAATAAATAGGTATCTGCCGTATAATCGTATATAATCATTTTATTTTGAAATACGTGACAGGTATACTGTTATGAAATTGCGCCAAGTCGGGATGAATAATGGATGTATTTGAGATAGCTAACGTATAATTTCTTTGCAGACAACATTTTTGACTTTCTTATCTGGAGATAGAATTTATATGTGGGAATGTATGCCAACGAGTGACAGTTCTGCATTAAGAATACCAAGAATGATGCTATTAAAACAATGTCTACGTTTTTGAATGTCATGCCTTGGGCTTTGGTAATAGTCGTAACGAAATTAGGAAGGATTGGGAACTGTAGACGGCGGAACTGAAATGAGTCCTGCGTCTGAAGTAGCTCTAGTACTATAGCCCGCTTACATTAACTGCCGCTGGCTGTTAATGTAAGCGGGCTATAGTACTAGAGCTACGTCTGAAGGTACTAA